ATAAGGGATTTCTTACATCGCTTCTCTGTGGGATCGATACTTGGGGTCTTTAAAAAAACATATATTACTTGAAACGATGTGTACTTGCGCAGAACCCCTAATGTGTGTGTAGAACTCTTAGTGTGTGAATATAAATCAAATTCTAAATTTTATAAAATATTACTTTGCACACTAGCCGCTTATATATAAATTGGTTCAAGTTCTTACCCATTTTTCAGAGCTTAAAAATTTGCATAATTGCAGGTCGGGTCAAGTTTTAGGCGTCGTTGTCGGGGAAGCAATTTGAGTGGACTCACATTGACCGGTTGGCTAGTAAAATAATTTAGGCGGCAATGCAACTTTTAAGGAAATATAATTTAAAATATGTTTCTATTTGATGTTTCTAGGTGACAGTTGCATAAAATTAATAGAATACTAAGCATATATATACACTCGAAAGAGTGTTAGATAGACATATGTTCCTTGTTGGCACAAGATTCTATAGATTCCTTTTACTGCTTATGTCATTATTTTCATTTACATTACTTTTGTCATTATCTTCATTTTACTTTTTTTTGCAATGAAATAGATGCATGTTTAGGAAATTAGATTTGTTTAAAAATTCTGTTATATTATTAATGTGATTGTATTTTCATCAGGTCTTAATTGACTTTGCAAACTGATCACTTGTGAGGTTAAAATCCGTTGCAAAACATAATACCCTGGAGGGCTAGGATTTCACCCAACTATAGTGGATACCACACTTCATTCTGCGCAGTCATTACGAACAGCTAAAGAGGAGTGCAAATAAATAGGTAGATAAGTTTTGATGGGTGTGGAATTAGTTAGATCTAGAGTGACAGGCTAGATTCTTATCAATTTGGCTTAAGGTTTAGTATCCTAGCACTGGGATTCGGTCATCACGGTGACATAGGCTAGGGGCATCTAGAGGTGAGAGGCTAGATAGCACTGATGTGAAATCGAGATGTAAGGGAATCGGCTTTAAATTAGCTAATGTTCTTTGCAAGCACCGGGAGCGAGTAAAGAATAAGGTATGCTTTTATTTATCACTGACAATATTATATTTTAAGCATTTCATTCCTTAACATTATCTAGATCATTACAAGTGAATGGTAGTCTTTAATATCTAAAAATTTCTCCAAACTAATTTATCCAGAAAAGTTATATTTAGATTTAATATTTTCATTTAGGAAAAGTTATTAGAAAAATTATTTTAATCAATATTCCAAACAAAGGTCTAATAGTAGTAGACTAGAATTAGCCAAAGGGATTTCTTATCTCGCTTCTCTACGGGATCGATACTTGAGGTCTTAAAAGAAAACCCTATATTACTTGAAACGATGTGTATACTTGCGTAGAACCCTTAGTGTGTGAAATATAAATCAAATTCTAAATTTTATAAAATATTATTTTACACACTAGTTGCTTATAAATAAATTTGGTCAAATTTTATACCATCTTTCGGAGCTTAAAAATCTACATAATTGCAAGTTGGGTCAGCGACCGAGAGTTGGGAAGTGTAAGAAGCAAGTCTGGCATCAACATAAACTAACGACTTAAGTCATTCGATCGATAGAAAATGCTCAAAATGTCTGACATCAACGCAAGATGCTTGATCAGCATTTAACGTCAAAAAATGACTCTTGAGGTGGCTAAATTCAAATTGAGTAAAGCTCTGGAGGTAGTTCATTGCCCACTAGTGACAAGCTCTCCAAAGGGTACCGAGTAAATCACCCCGGAAGCAAGTCTCAACGGTTATGTCATTTGAGGTGATAATCCGACTGAGCAAACGAGATAACAGCATTATAAAACTTGAGATAGGTTGTAACCACATCGAAACTGACCAAAAAAAACTCTCCTATGGGATGAACAATTGATCTTCAACTACACACCACAAGCAATAAATGATAAAGGGCAGTAAAAGTAAAAGCTTGATTACAAATTCCTTCACGAAAATTCTCTATCCATGTTTTTTTATTGTAAACAAAAAATAAAAAATTTCTTAAGCACAAGAATCCTTGCGATCGGATCACGCATTGGACGAACCACTGTCTGCTACATGCTCCACCTCGGATTCATCTTTTCTTGCCACTATTGTTAAAATAGAGAAGAGCTTGGTGAATCCATCTAAGTTGGAGTACTTTGAGTTGACCAACCCAATCCACAAAAGCTAGTCGATCACTGGCTTTTTGCCGAGCCGAAGGTGTCTGGCCTAAGTGTCAGAAAACTCCTTTGAGGCCTTCATTGTGGCTATGTTTTTTAAATGAACTTCTTTCCCTTCCTGAATTACAGAAAGTCACTCTGACGCGCTCTCTAGCTCTTCGTCAGTTTCAGCTAGCCCGACCACAATCACGGTCACCCGTTCCTTAGCCGCTTTCGCCCGAGCCTTGACGATCATGGCCTTCTTCTCTACCTTGAAAGCTGCCTCTTTGGCATTAAGATAGAAGGAAGCTAAATGATGTCTGGTCATGAGTCCCAAAACTTGGTGTCGATCGCCTGTGTGGCAAAAGTCGTGAGGTTCGCGGTCTTTCAAATTCTTCTCTAAGCTTTCTGACCAGAGGACGTTCACCATGGTCGAGGCATACCTATCAACACCTGGACCTCTGGGTAACCAGTACCTCATTATATTTATCAAAGAAACTTGGGAATCTATTGCCATGAAGACCTTCGGTCGCTCCTGCATTGGGCTCCAACTGCCCGGGACCCCTTTCCATATTTTCCCTGATGGCGAGGGAAGTACAATATCTAACTCAGATGTTGGAGCCTTGCCCTCCATTAAGCAAGCTTCTTTAGAGGTAATGATTTAGGCCTCCAGTTCAGACTCGGCCCCAAAATCCTCCGCACGAAGTGCTTCTTCAACAGGCAGATTGTCCAACTTGCCTCCCTCCTTTTGTTGCAGTGTCAGCGAGTCGGATGACACAACCTCACCCCCAGGATCTTCCACTCTCTTCTTCTCGTAAGCGAGTTGCTTAACTTGTCTCTCACTCTCAAGCCAGCCCCCTTCTTCTAGCTTCTTAGTTGCCCGGGCATTTTCGCACTCTCGAGCCAACTTCCTTCTCCCGACCTCTTTAGTCCACCAAACTTCATTTCGCCCTGAGTCAAGTTATCTCCTTCGGATCACTTCCTCTCAAACTCCTCATGATGGAATCCCGACGCAGCAATCTCAAAGGCTTTTACCAAATTTCCTTGGCAAGGCCATCAACTGGAGGTCTATTGTCGCTCGCCATGAAGACACTCTTGAAACCGACCAACTGAGAGACACTTGAAAGCAAATGCTAATAACAAAAGCGCCAATCACGCCCTATTTATAGAGATCATAGGCACAAAAATTCAGGAAACTTAGTTATTAATGTACTAATTATAAAATAAATAAATCTAATTTTTGCATTTAATTATCTTACTTTTATCGCAGTTGTCACATTTAAGAAGAGAATCTATGAACTAATATTATACATCAGAAATGCATAAACACGAATCTCAAGAAAATCAAGCGGACTAAGAGACAAGGAAAGGTCGGGGAAGACCCACAAAGAAGATCAAAGATCCTGTCATCGGAAGATCAAAGACTTGACTGACAAGGTGCAGATCTTTTAAGTCGGGACCTAAAGTCGATTAAACGAAGGTCGTGCGAGCCAAAGACTAAGATCCATCGAGTGGAGAGAAGATAGCCAAACTCTCGCCTCAGCATCATCAGCCGCCTCATAAGAGTCTCTGGGGCTCTTCACCAGATGGCCTAAGGTGCTCACCACGATGCACTCTGTGATCCGATAAGGGGTGAGGCATTAATCGGATTACAATGATTCACCCTCTACCCAACAGTCTAATCTCATCCTGGCGACAAAAGCTCCTCATCTATGGCTCGATAGTAGACTGCGAGACCAAAGCAGCTGACTTGTTGACTCAAGACGACAAAGCCAAGTCTGGACGGCCGAAGATCAACCAGTGCCAATCGGCATCACAAACTCAACATAGTCGGTAAAATGAGCATTGTCGACCTAAGGACCGCTAATCTCTGTTGACCGAGCGATAAGATAGTTGAGCCATAGGTTCATTTAGGTAAATAACCAAAATAACCCGTAAAGCCCTCGTTACAGCAGAGGTAAGTTTGTAATTATGCACACGGTATCCCCCCTCTTATAAATGGGGGGGCCATTTCTATAGTAAAGTCCAATCAAACACAATTTCCTCATTTTACTGTTCATTACTGTGCACTATCTCTTTCTCTCTCTCCTTTTCTATACTTTATTCCTCAAGTGTGATTCACAGAACAAATTCGGATTCAACATATACTAAAAATCAAAGTAGCATCTACTTGGGTGAAATACTATAATATTTATGGCTTAGTCTCTTACTTCTGAGTAAAACCTCATATGTTTGGGTATAAAATCATGGAAAAAGAAGTCAGATTGACCACACACTTTCTTCACCGATTTAATTTCGTCAAAGTAAAAAGAGCAATAAAAGCTAGGACATTCATAGCTATTGTATCCTCAATTTCAACTTAGATGTAGATGGAATTATGGCACTACTAAATGAGTAAATGCAACTTAGATAAGCTACTCCAGAATACCTTTTCACATCATAAATATACAAATATCAGAATAATATTGCCATGCAGTTGATAAATGTGACTCTAATACAATGGTAAAAATCCCTGAAACAAGTAGCAGGCGTTTTGTCTAAAGTCGATATCTAAACCAATTTAGAGTTCTCAATTTTAATTCTATAAGTTATGGACAACAAGAAATTTTTAAGTTCCAGTTCCAAACAAGTAATTACTCTTCCCAAGGAGCATCATAAATTTCTAACTGGAAGTTACTATTCTATTTGTAGAATTTTTTCTTTTTTAATTTCAAAGTTAAGTGCACAACATTTGTGTTAGACACCAACTAAAAACAGGCTATAATACTCTGTATTGTTACTTTCTAGTTAAAATCATATTTAAAACAGAATTTTAAATAAAAAAGTATTTCTAGAATAGAAGTAAAAAAGAAACCGGCCTCAATTTGTTCAATTTCCATGTTCCAATCATTGTGATCCTTCAATTGCTTGCGGTTCCCAACATAGTACTGAACTTTAAAATCAGTTGAGCTCTCTATGACCATGGCTTGCTGCAAAGTGAAAAATTCTAAGCCTCCATAAAAGGTTTCGCATGAAAAAAATATAGAAACGCAACATGCAAATGAATACTGAAGAAGCAAATTACGACAACAACATCATTGAGGGTAATGATTAACAACGAAAAACAATCAAATAATGGCATATCCCATATTTATAACCATACAAGCTGCATTTTAGACAGAGAGAGCTGCATAGTATTCTTCAACTAAGGAATGAGAGAACAGCTAGAGCATTCTTTACTAACTTCATAAAAATAATAGGGAAAGAATATTAAAATTCCACGAAAAACCGTAAAAGCTTCAAAATACTCTGTATGATATTAAAAACATCATCCTCATTGTTCAAATCAAAATTTCCATTTTCAAACAATTTTTTGTAGGCCCCGCAACTGCAAGTCATCAAAAAATTAGGCTGGTCAAGAGTTGCCAGCTTTAGAGTAATTTCAAATTTAACTGGGTCATTTGAAAAACTCAAGAAATGCTACCTTTCTCCTATGACTGCTTTATTACTCTAACTAATTCTCTCATATTAAGAAAAAGGCTTTTCAAATTTCTTCCTCGAATTGTATTATCAACAAAAAATTTAGAACACAATGAACATTAGTCATCACCAAAAAACATATTAAATAAAATGCAATTTATCAAATTATAGGAATCAATATAATTTGTTTCTAAAAAATTCAACAAAGTAAACTACTTGGACCCCTTCTATCAATCCTTCCCAAGAAAACAGCATACCCAGGAGAAAGTGAAAAAGATGGCAACTTAGCTGGGACCTCCAGAAGCAGATCAAGCAACAAGTCAGCTCTAAGTGCCAATAAGGTGGTATCAAAAGACCCATTTTACCTTACAAAAGAATCACCTTGATCACCATCGGTGCAAGCCTTCAACAACAACAACTACCTCAAAAAGTTCAATTTAAAGCTTTGCCTACCAAGTTCAAAGTCAAGAGTAATCCTGTCAACCATAAATTTCCCATGTGGAGTCCCGAGACCCGATACCTTACAATAAAACCAAAGCATCACAAAATCCAGAAGAGTTTTACGACTTAACAATCACCTCGTAGTGGCATTGAAAGGTCGTCGAAGACCCAGCAGCTGAGGAAATCCAGAATGTCATGGTGATGAAGGCCAATATGCCTAATCCCTAAAGTTCCCAATCATATAGAAACACAGGATAACCTCATGATGACTCTACCAATATCATAACGCCCCTATTCAAGACTTTGTGTCACCTCACACCAACACAAAGAAATTCACAACATTCCACAGCAGAGCACAAAGCTGAATACCACCAACAGTGGTGCAAAAGGAAACCACAAAGTCCCCAGCTACATGGAGATTACGTTGCAGTCGTACTAAAATCCACAACTAAGCTCAAATCCTAAGATCATCTCATGGTTGTAACCTCTAGCAATCCAAATGCTCCAAAGACGATGCCAACGCCCCACAAAATACAGCCCAACAAAGTTTGGATTGCTCCTGTCACTCCAAAAAGTCAAATAAATCAGAATGAAAACACAAGTGATTGATTGTCCGATAACCCCCAGAGTGAAAATACATTGACATCCCATGAAAACCCAGAAGTTGCAAAATTTGCAGCAGAAATAAAAATATAAAAGTGTTCACACAAAAACTCTTAACGCAAACCACCTTCCCCAACTTATCAAACCACCATACCAAATTGGGTCTACCCAAGGAAATCAAAAAATAATCAGCTCATGCCCTCAACAACTCCATCAACAATATGTCCACAATTTGCAGATCAAATGAACTGAAGCAATAAAAATGACCACTATCCTGGATAACACGAGAAGCTCTAATAAGACGTTGTAAAGCAAAAAACTTAAAAGCAGTAACACACCTCCCGTACTTCTTGTTTCATCCTCAAAAAAGAAGCATAGGATCATTTTCAAATAGCAAATATCAAATACAAATCCCAAGTGTAGAATCTAGAGTAACATGGAAGGAACAGCATATCATCACCTAAAGCAAATGTGCCCACTATAGAAGCCATGAGAAACTCAACTTGCATCCTTGTTAACCAAACCTGAGGATTATCTAAAACATCAATTGTTGATAAGCTCTCTGGCATTGACTTGCGAGTATCCATATTGCCTCATTACCTAAATTGGGGGATACCCCTCGAAAATGTAATCTGCCCAAACCTAAAATATAACTAGCTCTATCAGATTTCGTTAAAGTAATATACTAATAGAGGGAATACCCATCTCAAAAGTCACCCTCTTCTGAATCCAAGAATTTTCTGGTTGCAAAGCTACAGAAAAGTTTGCCAATGGAAGACCAATCGATAAGCACAAAATGATCTTCCACTAGACATGGCACAATCAAGAATATCTACACTCTCTTCTTGATGAATGGCTGATGGACAAGCACAAAGTGACCTTCCACCAGAAATACTACAAAGAAATATATAAGAATAATAATAAATTCTACACTCTTTCTTTCATGATTGTTGATAAGCTTGAAATATGCCTCACTTGGGAAAATTGCTTGTCCATGCAGTATTGGGGTATAACAAAACAATCAAAGCCACCCTGAATAAGAATATCAATATGAATACAACTACACATTTATGATACCGTTATAGGGCTCATAGAAGATATTTGGAGAGTGAATTTCATAAGGAGGTGGTTGTAGAATAGCGACGATAAGCGAATATGATCCACGGTGGACGGGATTGCAGAGATAAATCTGTTATAGAATGGCAGCTTTGATGTCAACAACAGCTGTCCTTACTGAAATCCGCAAATTAGATGAAGAAACAACAAGATACTGGAGGCAAGGAGGTTCCATCACCTGTTGCTAAGCACGCTACAAATACACCACTTGAAAAAGTAAGAGGAAACAACACTCCTAAGAACATAAAACCAAAGAAAGGTCATTCAATTCATAAAATCAGTAAAACTGAAATCCAAACAAACTACTACAACATATATAAAAGTTCCATAAAAAAATACCTAATTGGAAAATAGAAAATAGGAAAAAACTAAAAAGAAAAAAATAAAAGAGAACTTGCAAGAAATGGGCAAGAACTACTCTCGATCTAATGAGTCACTGTTGCGGCTATGACATCTTCGGATTATCTTCTCTCAAAGGAGGCAAGCATTTGTTCATTTGAAGGAGGAAAGTCTCTCAATTCATAAAATTAGCAAAACTGAAATCCAAACAGCCTACTACAACATATATAAGAGTTCCATAATAAAAATACCTAATTGGAAAATAGAATATTAGAAAAAACTGAAAAGAAAAGAAATAAAAGAAAACATACAAAAAATGGACAAGCACTACTCTCGATCTGACGCGTCACCGTTGCGGCTATAGGTGACATCTTCGGGCTGTCTTCTCTCAAAGGAGGCAAGCCTCTATTGCATTTGAAGGATTTCTCACTGCATATCTTTCAAAATAAGTTCATAGACACCTCGCTGAGAGTTTCTCCTTGGCAGTGTGACATTCTTTTAATTCAATTAGATTTTTTTGTAAATGTAGGAATGTAAATCAAAAGTTAGAAAGCGGTTTAAGTTTTGTGACAAGTGTCAGAGTGAATTTTTTGTGAGGATAGGAATGTTGAATTTTAAAAATTTATGGTTGAGGCCAGGAATTACAGCATGAATGATTTAAGTACATGGGAAATTTGTTGGAATTTAAAATTAGAAAAAAAAAAGAAAAGTCAACAAAAATTTATGATTTGTCAAACACTGATATCAAATGATATCGTTATAGATCCCCTATAAGGTATTTGGTAAGAAGCTTTCATAGAGAGGTGGTTTTGGAATAACGAGGGAAGGCGAATATGTGGTCAACGGTGTTTGAAAGAGATTCCAGGGATAAATCTGTTGTTAAATAGTGGGTTTGAAGTCATCGGTGGTTATCCTGGCTGAAAAATAGCACAAAAAATCTCTGAATTGGCGACATTCCAGACAAGAGGTTCCAACACATGTTCATGAACAAGATACATATGCATCACTTATAAAAAGATGATGATGCAACATTCCAAAGAGTAGAACACTGAGAAAATTTTCTTAATTCATAAAATCAACAAAATTGAAATCCAAACAGCCTTGATATAGCATATATAAAAGTCTCCTAAAAGAAAATACTTAATTGAAAAATAGGAAAATAAGAAAGAACAAGAAATAAATGAACAAAAGCTAAAAATTTGCTAAAAATAAAATATCATTTCTGCAATTGCGGAAGCCGAGGATCTCAGCATGTGGCACTGCGGAAACTTCCATGTCTCGCATCACTCTCCCTGGGTAGTATAGGCTTCACCCTCATCTTCGGAAATGTCTGCATCCCACTATAGGATATACCTTCTCACAGAGCTCGTAATGAGATTTCCAATGTTGTGATTCACCTCTTATCTAACCATTTGTCAATGGATACACTACAGAATTTAACTGGAACTTAGTACACACCTTACTTGATAGAGTTTTCCCGTAATTGTTCAAAATCTTCTCATCTATCTGAAATGACGACATGTTAAGCTACTCTCAAAAGTGGCAATCAAGGGGGTAAAGTGAACGTCAAAGAATCATAAAACTCCTCCAATGAGGGGCATAATTCCTCAAAAATTGTATCTTCTATGGTACTATCATCTAACATTACAAAGGCCAATTTAATTGGTGCCTCCCTCATAGCTTGTAGGAATGTGGCATGGGCCACTAAAATTCTTATCTTTGTTGTAGTACCCATCACGACTAACTCTTTCAATGACAGAAGTACAACATACTTCCCATCCTTTATAAATGAGGTGTTTTTGCGACCATCATGGCGTGTACACCTTTCATATTATCATCATTGGCCTAAAAGCATGCAGCATACATCCATAGACTTGACATCACATCAAACTTGAACTTGTAGCTCATCTCCCATAAAAAAACTCCACGAGACATCTCCTGTCAACTATGATCATATTTCCTTTCTGCAATTGCGAAAGCCAAGGATCTCAGCTTGTGGCACTATGGGAAC